CAACCTCGTCCCCAGGGCTTTTCCCTCAAAAAATGGGTGGGGCCGGGAAAAGGCCCTGGCATCAAATCAATAGACTAATGTATTTTTCTGAAAAGCCGTCAACCAATGAGGATGCAGAATTGACCACAGGAATTCATACATTACCGTTGATATGAATATTTGATGAGCACACGTGACCAGCCGATGCCAGGGCCTTTTCCCGGCCCCACCCATTTTTTGCGGGAAAAGCCCTGGGGACGAGGTTGCGCCAACACCCCCCCCCACTCCCGCTTCCCACCTTTTCTGAAGGTCTGGATTCGCCACTGCTGTCTTCTTGCCCTCCCAATGTTGGTATACAAGATTTGGCGATTTAACTGCGATAAACAAAATTGGCAGGACGAGGAGATGGGCCAGAAGTTGAAAAAACAGCATTAGGTGGAAGTCTGCCAACCACTTTTGTCTGACACTGTGGCTCTAGATCAGTGATTCAAGACTCTGACAACGAAAGGTGAAATTATATTACCGAGTCTTTGGGTGCTACTGCTCAATGATAATGAATGACACAACTCAGTCTACTGAGACAGCTAACCATGATATCAACTGACCCATGTCGACACAAGTTGAAAACACTATTTCCTTTTCTGGTCGCAAAACTTCATATAAACATTATTATGGACGACAAGAAAATAACGATAATATTATTTTTATTTAAGAATTAACAATATTTATATATTTAGAATGAGCAACAGGGTTTAAACATTGAAGAATTTCGAGTTTCTGTGACGTCTGTTGAAGAGTTTTGAACAATTTTTTGCATTTCTGTAAAGTCTCCCAAATAACTTTAGGTTTTGCAATATTTTTGGCCAAATAAATAATGGAAGTAGAAAAACTTGGCATCATTATTTAACTATTTAAAATAAACTTTTCACATGCAGTTTTTGATGAATTTTAATAAGGTTTTCAGCGGAATGTAAAGATTTTTTTATATATCTCTTTTATATATCTCTTTTTATCTTGCTTTAAAACGAGATTCCCTCGTGTTAAAACACGAAAAATGTGGAAAACTGGCTTTATTCAGGTAGCTTAAAAATCAATTGAGTATAAGTAATCGCGCTACCTAATTCGATCGTTTATATAGTCGCCCCCCAAAAAGGAAGATTCGAGAGTGCCGCGTCATAAATAATGGAATTTGATATGAATATTGAAAAAAATTAAGGAGCATTACTCAAGACTGGCAGGGGAAGCTTATATCTACCAAGGGCCGAGGTACAAGGCAAAAAGGTGCCGAATCCTGGTAAATTAGCCTAGTGGGCAAATTTTGTCGAATAAACTACCAAAGATTAAGAAGAAAGGCTGGCATTCTTTTAGCTGCAGTCAGTCTTGCTTCTTGATTTCATGATTTATTCACAATAAAAGAGCCAGCTTAGCTTGGAGAAAAAATGATACCTTACTGAAAACGGTCAAAATAAATTACAGGTTACAACGACGATCCATTCATCCACCCAGCCGTTTCCAACGCGCGCGTTCTCCTGAAGGCAGCTCAATTTTTTTCGTCCAAAAACTATTAAAACTAAATCGCAAAATGCAATATTTGATTTGCTTTCATATCAAGATCAAAACAAGTTATTTCTCCAGATAGTTCTATTGAATTTTTGGTGACCAAAGACAACGTTATATTAGCAGTGCGGTAATCTATAAGCGATTCGCAATCTATTAAAAGTTCAAAGGACTTTTGGAAGTTTCCGAGCAAGTGAACAAAGAGAAATTTCTTTGAACAACTAGATTTCAATTCTTTTTACCCCGCCGAAGTTTACTTGTTTAAGTGAAAAGATTTATATGCAAAATTTTCAGAAGTTAAGCCTTTATATTTGTATAACACGCAGAATGTGTAGGAAGCTAAACTTAATTGAGGGTCTTAATTGTTTTGTTTCGAAGAAACAGGGATCCGAGTTTCTGTGAAATCTGACACACTCCAAGGGCGTATAATTCTAAAAAAAAAAAAATGATCTTTTCGCTTTTCAGCACAATGACCTGTTTTATATCCGGCCTTTTTCCGAAGAATCTATTACACCAAGTCGTAGCCGTTTAAAACTTACGATAAGACCCCAAACTACCAGCAAAAGCATGCCAACGATCACAAGAAATTTCATCGGTCATCAGAGATGAGATAGTTTGTAACAGTTTGACTGACCTGCAACTGAAGACAAAAGTTGGGTAAAAATAAGAAGATAAAAGCCAGTTGCCACACCGAAGGAGCAAACAAAAATGTTTTAACGTCACTCTTCGTGGTTGTTGGTATGGGGCATTAGCTAGATTTCCTGTTTGACCGGTTTGCAGTATTCTTCGAATCGAGGCCATTTTCTCGGAAATTATGAATAGCGCGTGGTGCCGTGACCATGACGAACCACAGTGACGCAGGACCGGAATGAAGGGCGAAGAGGGAGGGAAGTGGAACTGAGGGCAAAACAAGCCCAGTTGAAGAACCCATAAAAATTTGTGGGTGCGTTCCATGATCCAATCAGATCACGCGGATCATGGTAGATCAAATGAACCGATGAATTGAATTCACTGTGGACATTCACAAGGATTCATCAGTTCATTTGATCTACTGATCCGAGTGATCTCGGATCACTGATCCTGATCCGGATGATCTCAAAGAAACGCACCTATATATTTGAGAATCTCAATAGAGTGTTTTCACTCACGTGGCCAGCATCTATGCAAATTGATTGGAACAAAAGAAAGAAAAGAGTTCAACTCCCAGAGGACTGGTTTGGGACACCAATATGGCTGCCGTTTCATTGTTTTGGGACACCAATATGGCCACCGTGACGGCAAGTGAAAACACCGGCTCTATTGGTCGCTCTATTGACGAACGCGAAAACAATAGAGTTAATCCCAGTCCCTTCTGGTTCGTTCTTTCAACCATGATCATGTCCTGAGAAAATAAAAGCGTGGACGCTACGAGTCTGGAACAAAATTATTGAACATTCCATTATTAAACATATTTCTTCACTATAATACGTATCATCCTATCTCAAAAGCTTGATCTCCATCCGTATAAAACTATTCTTTTTAGGATGTTTTCCTCTAATGGGGTAAAGGGTAAAGTGGCGTCTTTTTTCTCAGTTTATCAAGTTTGTGTCTTAAGAAATAAAAGGAAAAAGAAGATAAAATATTCTAATGCGAACTGACTTGAGGTTAAAATAAAGTGGAGAAGAGAACTGAGCCAAGAATAGCCCCTATGCATGATTACGTCAGACGAGTAAATTTCACCAACAAGCCTCGTTTGTGAACAAAATTTTTTGCATTTGCACTTTTTGTGCGTGGGTATTCTTTTCAACTCTACTGCCTTGGGAATTCATTTCTGTGAAACTTCGCTTATTTTTAATTTCAAAACGAGGCTTGGTGGTGAAATTTGCTTGTGTGACGTAAACATGCATAAGGGCTATACGCACTACATTTCAATCAAAAACGCTGATTTATTCATACTAATTACAATCGAACTTCTATCAGCTGAAACATGTGGTGGCCCGTTTAGGCTCCGTTTACACTGAAATAGCTAGAGATAGGTACAAATGAGTCAAAATGAGTCATGAGTTAAGTCAAAAAAAGGTTAGAATCTTTCAAATTCGTTGTCAATTACTACTTTGATCAAAATACATGGCGCATACAATGGCAAACCTTAACCTAAAAAAATGCAAAACATATCGAGTTCCATTAATGTTTAACTCTTATCACTATATAATTGTTAGTTCTTAATCCTAATTACTATAGTCAGTGCTTAATTCCTATTTTCAGTGTTCAACCCTGACCTGACTCATTTTAAGCGTGGTCTACAGTCTATTTCATTCGTAGGCTGGCTAACAAAATCTCATAATCAACTGTTTTTGAACCATTACAACATAACGTAAATTCCATGAAAACATGTAAGGCTGGTCTTCACTTGGGACCAATCATGGGGGAGAAAATCCATTATCTACGAGACAAGCTAAGGCAAAAAGAGTACTCAAAACAACAAACTTGATAATAGCAAAACTTCATACTGTTATTTCAAACGATATATGTTTGATTTTACGGTTAATTCATCACACAAAAAAGGACTAAATAAGTTTGGCTGCGTATAATGAGGGCTCAAGGCTGCATTGGGAGACACTATTCTAAGAACTTAGGAGCTAGTTGGGGCTCATTCCTCCTCGACCAATGGTCGCATGGGAACCCGAGTGTTGGCATTCGTTGTCATGACAGCGGAAGTACCAACACCAGGCGCGATAATGATAGGACCTTGATTGGCGGAGCGGCGCCTCCTACAGCAGCAGTAGCAACAGCAGCCACAGCAGACGGCGATGAGAAAAACAACCGTTCCAGCGATCACTGCTATTTTGGCAGGAACACTTAGGTCAATAAACCATCCGAAGAATCCTAAAAACAACAAATTTTGGTCATTTCTTTTCAAGCTGACACCTTTCTTACACGTATTGCACCGTGGAAATGAACAGTTATTCCTCAGTAAATCGAACCAGCCCTACGTAACTCCGATATCTGCAGTGATCGAAAATGAATGAAACGAAACTCCCCAGTAAAGAACCAGCCCCGTTGTATTTTTCTGTACACCTGGCACTTGTTTATATCGGAGTTCCTCTTTATTTTACTCCTTTGTCTGTGCTACTATGGTTACCAACATCGCAAGGTAACGAGGTGGACAAGCTGATTTAGCCTGAGTAGCAGGCACTTGGAAGTATTTGGGCGCAAGAAAGAAAGAGCGTGCCAGAGTGAGACACGCGTGTCTACCTCGCGAGGCCCGTTCTTTCTTGCGCCCGACTACTTCCAAGCACCTGCTACGCAGGCTAACACTGATTCAGTTCGATGTATACACGTATGGAAGACACCTAATATAATCCCGCGGATGTCCTTCTCGTATTAAGGTCTTAATTTGGTCCCGCGGGTGTCCCGCTCTAAGTAAGGTGCTTATATTTAGTGTCGGACACCGCTTTATCGTACAGATTATTACTCGTGAAAAGAACTTCTTTTAATTAGATATAGTACGCCATGTTGATCAAGATCAGTTTTACTTGCCACAGTCGTCAGTTGAGATCGGCAAATCTCCATCCACAACAGTGACTGGGGGGAGATAAACACCCAGTGCTCCGACCAGCAGATTCACCTGGTAAAAGATAAAACAGTCACCTTGAACTGATTCCATTCAATTGAGTGATGGTTCATTCAAATCTTACAAAAGTAGTTTTAAAGCTGCAACTAGAAAAACCTTTTCATATCAAAAATATGATCAGTATGAAGAAGTAAAAAACATTTAGTCATCCCAGCGCAATTTTTTTATAAAAATGTAGAAAACCATTTACACAGTAACCAGTTGTTTAGTTTTCATTTTCGAGGATTCGTTTCTGTATGTGGGTTTTGATGTTGATTTTTATGTCTTAAGCTAGTTGATGTACCAAGTTAGAACAAGCCTAGCCTGCGAAAACATCCTTTTCTCCTCGCTCTTCGCCGCTGGGGAAGTTTCTCGCGGAAAGAAGAGCGAGGAGAAACGGATGTTTTCGCAGGCCAGAACAAGCCTGGAACCATACAACAGAAAACCTTTCATTACGTGACCTGCTCTCGCATCACGGTGAGGGTAAAAGGAGGAATGAGTTTGCGGAATGGCATGTGGCATGGCTTTCGGAATGAAATAATTATGCGGAATGCAATATATGGAAATGCAACACAGGAATAAATTAAGCAGAAAAGCATACGTGCGTCTCTGCCGCGCCTTATTTTGGCACAAATTTGAAGGAGCAACCGCTCTGCCGGTCCGTTTATTATTTCTGGCTCAAACCAAGATGCTAGAGCAGCGCGTTGGAGTTCACGAGGATTATGGAGGAAATCACTTTTAGTAGTGGTAGGCTTTACGAGGCTGCTAGGAAATGGTAGACTCGGTCGTAGGAAAGGAAATTTAGTTTGAGTCAGTGGGGAATTCGAATATCCGAGTTCGAGTTAACGGTCGAGTAAAAAATGAATGAAAAGTGGGATGACATCCAGGGGAAATTGAACTTAGTTCGAGTAAGCGGGGAGTGCGAGTTATCTGAGTTCGAGATATAGGGGTTCTGCTCTACAAGTGAAGGTAAAAAAACCTGTGAAGTTAATCGTGCAAACAACTTTCGCAGAAAAATTAAAGCAGAAGGGAGCGTGACCTTCCAAAACATCTTTTCTTCAATGGCCGACTTCAGTGCAGTAGTATCGGTAATTCCATGCAGCCCGCCTGAATAAATCTCATCTTTGTGGCTGTGCGAAAAAGGCTAATCGAGAGTGAGAAATCAAGGAATCCTTCGTGGCTTTTTGATTGTCATCGTAGTCGAGCCCGCAGAATTAAAAAAGTCGCAATTTTGCAAATTGATTGGCGCCAAAAAAGGGTACACTTTTCAGTTTAATTTATTTCTTTTAGTCATTCAGCATATATTACATTCCGCATGATTACAACTGTATGTCACTCCGCAAGGCATGCCACATGTCATTCCCCAAACTCATTCCTCCTTTTACCCTCACCAGTCACATAGACCTCCGCCAATTGGCTGATTGTTTATTTATCGTGACGTAAGGGAGCTTTCATTTATTGCGCTGGGAAAAGCCCTGTGGGAAATGGCTTGTGTGAATGGGCGGACTGGAAAGTATGGATTGGAAATTGAAACGGATTTTGACGACCACCCTCAACCACCTCCCCCCCTTCCCCCCTCCCCCCGTTCCTTCCAGGTGATTATAAATGAAAGCCTTTAGAACACACCTTTAAATGCAGTGTATCTTCGTTATTGGTGAGGTCTACTTCAACGTACACACCACCAGCAGGAACACTAAATCCGGGCACTGGAATTTTGTCATCACCACTGTAGGTATGTGACCACGTGATATCCAGATCCGGGACATCCATGGAAGCCGTTACAGTAACAGGGTCGTCACATTTGTTGATCTAGCGAGTAAGAGAATATATATTTTCATCAATAGAGCCTATTTATACACAATAGCTATTCACCCTTTCGCTGCTTCACGAGAAATGGTCACACTTCAAAATTTCATCCACAGTAACTCAAAAGTTAGAACCACCTTGCACAGTATAATAAACAGTACCACAGGAAAGAACTACCCAGTAGCTTTTGAATGGTTACACCATAGGATTCCATCCACAGACTCAAAAGTTAGACCCACCTTGTACAGCATAATAAACAGTACCACAGGAAAGTACTGCTCAGTAGCTTTCATTTGAATGGTCACACTATAGGATTTCATTTGACTAAAGTTATAACTTATAACAACATTGTCTCATTATAATTGAATTCATTGCTTGTCATATGCGTTTCAAGAAGTTTCAGTTCGCAATCTAAAACTACCTAGTCCTTTATGGCATTAAATTCTTAGCATACCTTGAGTTTGAATGTGATTTGGTTATCGCCAAAATCCATTTTGCAGGTGATCGTGCTGCAGTCATCGCTTAGTGAACAGCCATCGCCCAAGGTTGGGGAAGAACCGGAACATCCGCCAACCTCAGAGATGGAGTTTGGCTCTATATCTTGGTGGTCTTCAGGTTCTTCAAATTCAGCTAAAAACAAAATTATTTAACCGCTGATCATATTTAAAACCTTTACCTACTGATTAGATTAAGGCTACGTTTACATACCAGATAGCTTTTACGCTGGCGCGAAGACCATCATGATATCGGATTGGGCTTAGGTTGACACACAGGAACGATCACGGTGATCTCAACGCGATTTCTGTAACGATCTCTAAAGTGGAGAGTTACATATCGGATAGGTGTTCATACAATATCGGATACGATAGCTAACCTGCAGGCGGTGTGCGTCACGAGATTCGACCAATCAGAATGCGTCATTTGTAGAGTGATTTTCGCGCTCGGAAAGAGCCGTTTTCAGAGGTATATGTGGTGAGATTTTCGCTTTATTCCACGCTTGTGTTGATAATTTCGACACTATACCGCCGTGGAAAGTTGTTGGAACACTTTATCTTGATAGCAGTTGCGTTACTTTTTAATATTTTGCTTTCTTGAGCGTTTGTGACAAGTTTGAATTACTCGGTCATGTGCAGGCAGCCATGATGATTGGAGTGTTGTTTTTGCCGTTCTTCTTGGATTTATTGCTGGTTACTGTTAGCGGTTTTATCGAATTATTTTGGCCATCTTGTTACTTCAACCTTTCTTCTTTGCAAATTTCGGGGTCTACCCGGGTCTACCCCTGTTAGTTTTCCCGTTATGAGCCGTTGAAAGTGTCTTGGAATTGAGACATCGTCTTAGCCAAGTGGCACAACTCCCGGGAAACGGGCTGAGAAAACATGCCGAAGCGGATGCCGACGTGAAGCTAGTAACGCCAAATCCAGGAAGAGGTTTGTTCTATTTTAAACCACAAAAGGTAAATTAGTTTGAATATTGTAATAACCTTTGGAGAAAAAAACATTTTCATAACCCAGTGCGGAAACTGAAAGCGTGACTTAAAAATAATTTGCACGCGGTGTGTGCTATGTGTATGCAAATCTTTGTGTAAACTTATGTGAGGGAATAAATTGTTATATTAAAATCTCTACCAAAACACAAAACCATTATCGAAGATCCAGACAACATCATACAGGATTTTAAAACTGTGAGGTTAGGTTTTACTTTATAACAAAATCGATATACTGCGCTCACTTCAATGACCGCACAGACAAGACAAGATCGTGGTTTATTTCACTGTTTATTTCTGCGACTGTAGCTTCGGTGAAATTCCGATTGTGCCTGGCTAACCTGCGAGCAGGCGTTTTTTTCCCCAAACAAAAAGGGAAGAAGGATACCTCATGATACCTGATCGCACGCAGGTTATTGGATAGCTGGCCTATTGTGCTAGTCAGTCCGGATACCAAAGTTCTCAACACGATAAATGCGTTTTTTTTTTTTCATGTACTTTACTCTGCAGAGCTTTAATAAGATTTTCAAGAATAAGACTGACTAAAGTATTACTTTATGATCTTAAGGGGGAGGTTTGTATCAAAAGACGTCAAAAAAATCTTATCATCCAAAAATGTTCACCCACGGTCAATACAAAGGCTGGCAAAAGTTTAAGCGATTATCTGAAACTAGAATAAATCACTGTAAATTCCAAATGCCGATATTTCGGAAAAAACTGTAAGAATATACTTGTGCAACTTTCCGTGTATTAAAAGTTTGCAAATACTATGGTAAAAATTACAAACCGATTTTCACGCCCGTTCCTTGGTGGTCATGACGACGTGATACGACTCAGCGATATTTCGAATGTCTTCGCGTAATTTACTGACGTTTCACTCCCGCGAAAACTATTGCATTTTAAAACATCTTAAATTTCATGGACGCTTGAAGTGGTATTTACAAGGAAATCGCAAAGGTTTAACTTTGTTTTCCAACAATGATCAACAATTTATCAGCGGCCTGTGAAACTCCAGTACTTCAACCCTTGGCGATACCTCAGAGGTTCCGAGGAACTTCCGTCGGTGGTCGGCGCAGTGCTTGAAATAATTGGAATGCCACCACGTACTATCAGAGTATCAATAAATTTAATACTTGGTTCATTGAGCTATGATTCTGTTTTATTGTGGACGTTTTTATTCTAGTATTTCAAAGACCACAACTAAAAAATGGAAATGACGACAGGCAAGCGGCCATTAACTGCACATATCAAGTGATAATTTGACATCACGTTAGCGAAATTTTAATTTCAAATAACACGCTAGACAATTATATACAAGCTACTCTTTCAGGAGGTTTTAGAAGTTTTTGATTCGTTTGTAGAGCTTTAAATTCCATAATGCGGTTCTAATATCGTGAAATCGAGTCAAATTTAAAAGCCGGAGCAGTTTAACTGGTTTCTTGCAACCTTCCCGGCTAGTTGAACAACTGTGGAATTCGATGGACAAGCCAAGAAATACTGAAATATGATCAAGTATATTTAAGTTATTTCGTTTGCTAAAAATACTTAAAACTTTAATATCATAGTTTACAACGTTACCAGAGAGGTTCTAAAAGCTGTTAAGGCCATCAGACAGACTGATCAGAAAGCTCCAAAATGTCGACAGTTGAGATTCGATATAATAAACGGGAGGAGTTTCACCGCTTCACTCGCCATTCGAAGCGAATTCCTTTACCAATTTTTACCGTTCTCTCATTCTAAAGAAACAGGTCATATATATCCGTCAAGTTTTTAATGGTTATTTTGTAAATTATGACTTCATTTGGTGGTTATTCGCGAAGCAAAATATGCGGTATTGTTCAAAGTAGACGCGCGAAGAGTCCCGAGGCAGAGCATTTGGTTGATTCCAAGAACTCACCAAGGCCCTCAAGATTCCGGGAAAGCACGAGAGAGAGATTATTCTCTCTTGCGAAAAAAAAAGAGTAGTACAAAAAAATACCTTTATCTAGATAGAGCTATAGGTGACAATAACACATTTTTTAACTTTTCGGCGATGGATTGGTCTTTGCCGTACCGACAGCCTTTTTTATACCGAAAACGTTCAAATGTTCCTCGAAACAAGAATTCTCCCCTGGCTATTGTATCAAGGCTCCGAGAAAACTGTAACCCACGACAACGCTTTCTTCAATGCGTATTTCCTCAGTTGTGATTCTAATAAAACAAACACGTTTTTTGAGTAAAGTTACAATGTGATTTCTCACACAAAGCGGGCAAACTTAAGCCGATTTTTTCTCATTTCAGGTTAAAAACCATTCGAAACCATGTTAAAAACTGAACAAACCTACCTGCAGTTGAAGAAAATGCGTGGCAAAAAATGAACACGAAAAGACCAGCAATAACTATCCGCTCTGAAGCCATTTTTACTACAATCTGGCAATAGATTCAAACAGAAATATTCCGGCCCAGTGAAGTTGTTAAGCCTTTCTTCAAAAAACGATCTATAAGGAAGTCAAGCCTTGTTTTCTCGGAAATCATGCATGACGCAGTAGTGCCCAGACTCTGCAGGGTGACCAGGCACTGTATGGGGTGGGACGTTAGGTGGGACGGGGGTTAAGTCATACCCACCTTTTCATTTTTAGTCAAAAGTTTCTGGCACTGGCTCGCTGAAGAAAGACACTATTCCTTCCCTTTTAAAGAGGTTCTGTTTATAATTATATGCAACGGGTTTCTAGCTTTTTGATTGGAATAAACGATTCCCTCTTTTATTAAAACGCTTCCTGTCTAAAAAACGCCTACTCTTCAATGGCCCTAAAATTAATCACAAACGCGCGGGGGGTTTGTGAAACCATTTACGGTAAGCAATTTTAAAGGGCTGCTGCGCTGAAAACCAATCAGATTGGAAAATTTTCTTATTGGCACAATTAAATAATGGTGATGATGATGATGATTATGATGATATAAATGACACACCCGTTACCAACCTCGTCCCCAGGGCTTTTCCCGCAAAAAATGGGTGGGGCCGGCCCCACCCATTTTTTGAGGGAAAAGCCCTGGGGACGAGGTTGGTGTTGGCGGTCATCCAGACCCTGAGATAGCGGGGGGCGGTCTCTCAGTCCTCAGTTTGGTTTAAGAATAAGGGGAGAGCCCGGCTCCCTTCCCTGGATCCGCCACTAGACAGCAAAGTGTCCCAACAATTTTAACTGAGACTGTAACTTAAACAGCATAATAAACAAAGAACGATTTAGAAACACGTTTACTAAAGGCAAACGTCAATTTGAACCACGTGAGCAGGTTTTTCCTTTACTCTTGTCGTTTACAGTTTACGATATCTACACAAAAATAAGCAGTTTTATGTCGGGTTCATCCACAATAATTATATATTTACTCAGCTTTTTATCTGGTCATTTCGTACTTTGAAAAATTGCAAACTTGAATCGGATGTTTGTTATTTGCCCGGAAACGTGATTCTAAACCTTTTCTAAATAAAATGTAATATGCATGAGCGTAGCGTCCATATACGTAAATAGTATTTCCTTAGTTTCATTATTCCATAATTCGGCTCGGACAGACGTCGATGAGAAAAACAAGAAACGCTGGAAATTGCATTTCTGAGACCGTAAATTTAAGACTGATTTTCTGGGGGAGCATCCCCCAAGACCCACCCTAGGGTGGGCCGCCTTCGGAATACAACTACTGATTCTCTCTGCGTGCGTACACCTTCACAATTTTACGCTAGGCTCCTGATATGAAGTCCTTTGCTTTCAGCTGGCAGTTACGAAGATGATAGTTGGTCTGACGGCAATAATAACTATATTGCGGAGTACTCTGGAGGTTCATGTTCCGGTATGTCCCAGACCCAGCTGAGAGAAGGCTGTTCTATCAGTGACGACTGCAGCACGATCACGTGCAATATGAATTTCGTTGACGAGCCAATCACATTCAAGCTAAAGGTATAGCCTGCAGAGCATGCGTTTTAAGCGCGACTGACCTAGAGGGCAACTGGAAAACTATGGGAGGAAGGGCGGGCAAGGACGAGGGACTCATCAACCACTCCCTTGGAATCTTTTTTGACTTGTCTTAACTCTCTGTCACTTCAACGTCCAA